GGTTAACATGTTATACATACAATAGTAAAATATTACAGCCTTACTGCCACCATTAATGGCAGATCCTTTATCTTTTTTTTTTTTTTTAAGTGAAATCTATTTGTTTCCATGGTATTATTCTGGGTTTTGTTTCTTACTGTATACTATCAGGGTGAAAGTAAAAAGCTTTTTACCTGTTTTATCCACCACATTTCCTGGAGGTCTTGAGCAGATGCAATCCATTATTTTTAAAATGTATATTTTAGGTGACTTTGCACTACTTTTTAATGTAGGAGCAGTGTCTTTTTTATCATTATTAATTTTACTCAAAATGTATGTATACCCAAAATCAAAACTGCAGCTTACCAGTCCTTAAATGTGGTGGCTGCATTACCTTTATTTCTTCAAGCTTTTTTTTTTAACTTTATTTTCACCGGGTGATCCTAACAGTAACATACTTCCTACGACAACACTCACTCATTGTACTGTATCTATGAAGGAGCAGTTTTGTTATCCTAGGCTGCTTGCTTCTGATGTTGACTGCAGAATATGACTAACTTGTATCATCTCTGTTACATATGTTCTGTAGTCCACAGAAGTGAACTGGGCAATAATGCTTCTTCTTGGAATTTCAGTGCAGCAGAATCAGAGAGCGCAGGAATCAGTTCTTTGGATTTCTGCCAGCATCAACAGTTATGTTTTTTTCCTCCTTTAAAGCAGATGTTTTCACAGTATATTTAACAGACCAAAAGGAAGGACATAACAAACCTTAAAGTGGAACTGCACGGCATCTGAGCACCACAAACCAAAAACATTATTTAATTCATTTTAATATTTAAAGCAAACTCACCCATTCATCCATGTCTCCATGCTTTTTTTTGCTGAGAAATCATTTTGAAACACACCCCCAGGCATTTCTAGCAGTGGCCATCTTGAGCAAGGGCAGATGATTCATGTATTATTAACTTCCTGGCATTCATCTGCCCTTAGCTCAGGTATAGGCTGAGCTGAAAACCCTCACCTCTCGAAGACTCCTGAGATGTATGACATCAATTGTCTAGAAATGGAAACCAAGAAGCAACTAAAGAAATTAAAAAAAAAAGTTTAAAATATGTGAATATAATATACTTTACTATCTATTTTCTAATGCTTGCAGCATAAGGATTAAAAATAGTCAGTGTTGATTGAGAAAGTGAAGTTCCACTTTAAAGTGTATCTAAACCCGTAAACAAAAATTTAAAACATTACAGCTTACCATTTCTTAGATGGCTACATTTATTTTCTTTTTTCAGGCTTTTCTGGCTTTATTTTCACTTGGTTATTCCCACAGTAACACACTCCTGTCCCATAATAAAATACTTTTATCGTACCGTCTATCTACACAGCGTTTTACATATATATTATATACAGTCAGGTCCATAAATATTGGGACATCGACACAGTTCTAACATTTGTGGCTCTATACACCACCACAATGAATTTGAAATGAAACAAACAAGATGTGCTTTAACTGCAGACTGTCAGCTTTAATTTGAGGGTATTTACATTCAAATCAGGTGAACGGTGTAGAAATTACAACAGTTTGAATATGTGCCTCCCACTTGTTAAGGGACCAAAAGTAATGGGACAATTGGCTTCTCAGCCGTTCCATGGCCAGGTGTGTTTTATTCCCTCATTATCCCAATTACAATGAGCAGATAAAAGGTCCAGAGTTAATTTCAAGTGTGCTATTTGCATTTGGAATCTGTTGCTGTCAACTCTCAAGATGAGATCCAAAGAGCTGTCATTATCAGTGAAGCAAGCCATCATTAGGCTGAAAAAACAAAACAAACCCATCAGAGAGATAGCAAAAACATTAGACGTGGCCAAAACAACTGTTTGGAACATTCTTAAAAAGAAGGAACGCATCGGTGAGCTCAGCAACACCAAAAGACCCGGAAGACCACGGAAAACAACTGTGGTGGATGACCAAAGAATTCTTTCCCTGGTGAAGAAAACACCCTTCACAACAGTTGGCCAGATCAAGTACACTCTCCAGGAGGTAGGTGTATGTGTGTCAAAGTCAACAATCAAGAGAAGACTTCACCAGAGTGAATACAGAGGGTTCACCACAAGATGTAAACCATTGGTGAGCCTCAAAAACAGGAAGGCCAGATTAGAGTTTGCCAAACGACATCTAAAAAAGCCTTCACAGTTCTGGAACAACATCCTATGGACAGATGAGACCAAGATCAACTTGTACCAGAGTGATGAGAAGAGAAGAGTATGGAGAAGGAAAGGAACTGCTCATGATCCTAAGCATGCCAACTCATCAGTGAAGCATGATGGTGGTAGTGTCATGGCGTGGGCATGTATGGCTGCCAATGGAACTGGTTCTCTTGTATTTATTGATGATGTGACTGCTGACAAAAGCAGCAGGATGAATTCTGAAGTGTTTCGGGCAATATTATCTGCTCATACTCAGCCAAATGCCAAATGCTTCACAACTCATTGGACGCCGCTTCACAGTGCAGATGGACAATGACCCAAAGCATACTGCAAAAGCAACCAAAGAGTTTTTTAAGGGAAAGAAGTGGAATGTTATGCAATGGCCAAGTCAATCACCTGACCTGAATCCGATTGAGCATGCATTTCACTTGCTGAAGACAAAACTGAAGGGAAAATGCCCAAGAACAAGCAGGAACTGAAGACAGTTGCAGTAGAGGCCTGGCAGAGCATCACCAGGGATGAAACCCAGCGTCTGGTGATGTCTATGTGTTCCACACTTCAGGCTGTAATTGACTGCAAAGGATTTGCAACCAAGTATTAAAAAGGGAAAGTTTGATTATGATTATTATTCTGTCCCATTACTTTTGGTCCCTTAACAAGTGGGAGGCACATATGCAAACTGTTGTAATTCCTACACCGTTCACCTGATGTGGATGTAAATAAAACAAATTAAAGCTGACAGTCTGGGTTTGTTTTGTTTTTTCAGCCTAATGATGGCTTGCTTCACTGATAGTGACAGCTCTTTGGATCTCATCTTGAGAGTTGACAGCAACAGATTCCAAATGCAAATAGCACACTTGAAATGAACTCTGGACCTTTTATCTGCTCATTGTAATTGGGATAATGAGGGAATAACACACACCTGGCCATGGAACAGCTGAGAAGCCAATTGTCCCATTACTTTTGGTCCCTTAACAAGTGGGAGGCACATATGCAAACTGTTGTAATTCCTACACCATTCACCTGATTTGGATGTAAATACCGTCAAATTAAAGCTGACCGTCTGCAGTTAAAGCACATCTTGTTCATTTCATTTCAAATCCATTGTGGTGGTGTATAGAGACAAAAATGTTAGAATTGTGTCAATGTCCCAATATTTATGGACCTGACCGTATACAGTAGTTCCTGCCATAAAGGAGCTGAAGAAGAGGGGTGACATAAGCAGGGGGCAATTATGTTCAAAGTTGCCAGAGTTGGAATATTTAAAACAAAATCTTTTTGATCCCTTTTTCCCTTCAGTACATGCAATTTCTGCACTTTATTATTTGTGACAAATTAGTGGTTCTAGTTTACTTTTTCAGTAACTCTATTTCAGCTTAATCTAATCCCTTAAAAGGGGTTCACCTTATCTTGACAGTTCCATTATTAATATCTCATCAATCTAAATATATGTAAAACATCTAACAATACAGTAAACTGTATTTTATATAATAGACATCCTTTTATTGTCTTTCATTGTATTCCCAAGATCTGTTTTACATAAATTAATTCATAACATATATATGTATTGAATGAATTTATATTGCATGAGCTAATATCATAAATCCAATTGTGTTTTGAAGTTGTTTTTTTTTTTTTTACTATACGTAGTATTTTATCTTGTTAAGGAAGAAATAAAAACAAACAGCTTCATTTGTCGCCTGTGACAGCTCTGTGAATGTAGCCTGAGCAGCTTCTGAAAAATTAGAAAAAATACTCACAGGGAGAATATGAAAAGTCTTCATTTTTCTTCATCAGTGTCATGCTGTGAGAGGCTGCAGGAGAGGCTGAATTCATTAGTATGCGCTCACAGCTTTCTGATTAAAGTTAGTTCAACACAACCTAAATGTGTGTATTTAATTCTTTTAGCAAAGAATCTTCTAGTTTTTAAATGCTCAAGGGTCCATTTGGATGGTGTGTTGGAAAAATAAAAACCCATAAAAGTTACAAATACTCAGTCAAGCCAACCGCACAGGACAGGCGTATTAGTTCTAACTAATCTGATTTCAGGTTACTGTATTTTAACAGTGATTGCCAAAGATGCACAGGATTGTTGCATTTTATATTTCCCTTTTTTTATTATGCTTTTTTGTTATTTCAAGAAACTCTCAGTTACAGAGCCATACAGTTTGAACAAAAGTCCAGCAAATGAACAGCAAAAGTACAGTGCATAAAGTAATACAATCATGAGACAATATAATTCATTTATTCAATAGTGAATGCCGAATATTGCACATGGGATATAGCCTGTGAGAGAGGAAAGGTGTCAGGAGGAAGAAGACTGTTTCCACACTGCCATAGAATATTTACATAAGCCTCCAGGTCAGAACTGAGATAGTTCCAGGAACCAAGAGCCTTTATGTTACAAAGATTTTACAATAGGAATGAGGGGTGGTGGATTGTGATGGGGGAAGACGGGGAGAAGGAGAAATGGGGTCCACCATAGCTTGCAGCAAATGGAAAATAGGGTACATTTTCCTGTTAAATAATTCAGTTAATATACATCAATAACATTACATAATTTACACATACACTAGAATACTATGAAAATGACCTGTGTATGCAGGGACAGATTTCATATAAACAGAATAGGCTTGTGCCTATAGGTGCCACTCTGGGAAAGGATGCTTAGAATCACCAGGAGCAGCTGTCATTTTAAAAGCTGGCTCCAAGTCTGTGTTGATTAACTAATTGCCGACCGCAGATAGCCGAAGGACGGCTGCACTGCGGCCGGCCAGTTCTGGGTGGATGTCATATGACATCCTCCCAGAACGCACTCTCCTGCGCGCCCCCGAGGGCGCACACCCGGTGATCTCCGTGATCGCTGTGTCCTACGGACACAGCTGATCACGTGACTTGGTCAAAGGCCAATCACAGCGGCCTTTTACCACGTGATCAGCTGTGTCCAATGACACGCTGATCACCGGAAATGCAAATGCCTGGTCTCGGCTGCACTTTCCTCACGCTGTCAGATTGTGAGGAAAGTACTGCCGAAAACCGGCAGTTGTCAGAGTGGGGATCAGCACCGATCATCAGGGTCACTGATCATCAGTGCCCTGATGATCGGTGCCCAGCAGTGCTGCACACAAGTTCCGCCCACCTGTGCCCAGCAGTGCGCCCACCTGTGCCCAGCAGTACGCCCACCTGTGCCCAGCAATGCACCCACCTGTGCCCAGCAGTGTGCCCACCTGTGCCACCCAGCAGTGTCACCACCTGTGCCCAGAAGTGCCACCTACCTGTGCCCAGTAGTGCCACCCACCTGTGCCCACCAGTGCCACCCACCAGTGCCGATCAGTGCAGCCCAGCAGTGCTGCCAGTCAGTGCCACCAGTCAGTGCCCAGGGGTTGTGCCAGTCGGTGCCCAGCAGTGCCGCCAGTCAGTGCCCAGCAGTGATGTCAGTCAGTGCCACCTATCAGTGCTGTCTATCAGTACCCATTATCAGTGTCGCCTATCAGTGCCACCAATCAGTGCCGCATATCAGTGCCACCTATCCGTGACACCTCATTAGTGCTGCATATCAGTGCCGCCTATCCGTGCCACCTCATTAGTGCTGCCTATCAGTGCCGCCTATCAGTGCCCTTCAGTGCTGCCTCATCAACGCACATCAGTGAAGGAGAAAAATTACCTGTTTGAAAAATTTTATAATAGAAACAAAGAAACTTTTTTTTTTTTCACATTTTTTGCACTTTTTTTGCTTATAGCACAAAAAGTAAAGTGCCCAGCAGCGATTAAATACCACCAAAAGAAAGCTCTATTTGTGAGAAAAAAATGATAAAAATTTCATATGGGTACAATCTTGCATGACCGTGCAATTGTCAATCAAAATGCGACAGCACTGAAAGCTGAAAATTGGCCTGGTAAATAAGGGGGTATAAGTGCCCGGTAGGCAAGTGGTTAAGCTCTGAGAGTACTCCTGCATAAATAATCCAGCTTTCATTATTTATCCTACTATAGGAGCAATGGCAGCTTCTTCTATGTAAAAGAAGCCTGTATTGCTTCATCGTATATACAAGATCCACTGTCTGCCCTCCTACATAAGTATAACTAAAGCCACAGGCGTGTTTATGCATGAACCATTCTCACTGCTCATGTAAAATGTATTGTTGTTGCAACAGAAAAAAATAATACAAGTACTAATACAAGATTCTTTACTATTGGTATTATACCCCTCACTTTACATTCTTTTAATCCCTGTACCCCAGCCAATTGCTGGAGATGCAGGCAACACCCAGGAACTCTTGTTCATATATATTGGACCTGCTCAGGGATATGTCTATTTTGATTAGACGTTAATGCCCTTTCACAAGGTCTTGCAGATACACATTGAGCTTGACCCGGCTCAGTACTTCTACCACTGACCTTTCATATGTTAAAAGCTGTGAGATGTCTGATTGCTTCTCGTTGCGACAAGTACATCTACACTTGAACTCTATTCTCAGATTCAAGAGATCAAACTCATAGAAGTTCTGACAGACCCACTCAACAATACACTCTCTACCTCCATATAAGTTTAGGATCCATGGACTTGCTTCTTAGCCCCCCTATCAAATGTCTTTCCAGCCATCATCCCATTCCTCCCCACATCCCTCTACAGCTCACTGCTAACCTCCTCTTGTATACCTTACTTACATTTTCTTCTCCTTTTCTTTCTTTATTTTCTGTTCTTAAATTCATCTTAATGTTGGTTTCTATAACAAGAGTACAGCTTTTGGATGTGTTATCAGGATGGAATCATAAGCTACTGCTTTGTGTGTTGTTGCTTAAACACCACCTGTTATTCATAAAAGCAAACTGGCAGGTTCAACATGGTTTTTGTATTCACATAGTAACCAGGTACAGTATTTCCACTGGGTTTGTTATAATTTTATCTATCTTTCTCCAAGGATTGCTAAATATTTGACTTTGCTTGCCCATTTTTTGGTGATGATTGTAACACAGGTATCTTACTGTACTATTGTTTGGAAAAGAATTTTCAAATTTTTTCATAAATTAAAAACGTCAAAATTAGACACAAGGCAGCTTGCATTTCTAGGAGGTTAGAAAATTCTACATCTAGAATAACAACAAGGGAGCATGAGGCCATATATATTTATCACTATCGCTGGACGTATTTTATCTGACAAGTAACCAAAAACAGACAGCACAAAAGGGGGAAGTGAAAAGGAATTCACAAGAAAAAGCGGTTACATTATGGACAAAAAGCGATACCCAAAAATGTATCAAAAAATTATGCTTTAAGAATTCTACATCCCTTTTTCTTTCAGAACAGGTTTTCTTTAGCATAAAAAATAGTGCAACGCTGAGGGTAGTAATCATAAAACAGATATGAGTCCACTGCAAGTCCAGTTTATGAAAACGTGTCAAGTGACAAGTGGGAATTCAATGTTGGTGATCCGTGAGGAAGTGGCTGAAAAACGCACTCACCAGAAAGAAGACATATAAACGCAGTATATATCCAAAGCTCATGGATCCTCAATCCAGAAGAAAATAAAGCTGGTCCGGTCACAGAAAAGTGGGTTCCTCTTTATGGATGCAGCAACAGATCCTCCTCCTCCCAGTTAGGTGTAGGATTCCAAAGTCAGGGTTCTGCAAGCAAAGTGCTCCTCAAGGGAGTTTAGGGAAGGACATCCATAGTGTAGTAGGTTATGTAAAAGCAGCTTTATTAAAGGAAACAAAAGCATCCAATTCAAAGTAGGCAGGTATCATAAAGATGTGTCAGCAAGACAAACTAACCCTGACACTATGAATGATGGCCGCCGTGCCTCCACGTGGCTCCGGCGGCGTAGCGTCTCGATGTCCAGACTCCTCCTTACGCGTTACGTGCGCACGCACATCTTCAGAGGTATGGAACCAGACTGGAACCTATGGAACCTCTCAAGACCTATGAGTTCCACTCTCTCTTTTGGACTATACATTTATTAAAATAGTATATACCAGTATATGATATCATTTGTACATATACTAGAGCAAATAAATTAATTTTACTATAATATGTTGAAATAAAATGTTGTTTTTGCTTATCTAGTGTAACATTTTTTAAAATAATAAGAAGCAAATCTTTTATCAATTTTTTCAATTGAACTACATTATGAGAATATAGGACTGTGTGTCTAGAATCCCTGAGGATTATATTCTCATTGATCTGATACATTGCAAATCTAGAATCCATCTGTTTTTTCTTGGCTTATAATTTAGAATGATGGTTTAAACGTCTTCTGTGACCTCTAGCAAACACCATTTTTACTGAAAATAAATTTGTGGTCCCACTGGACAGGGTTTTTTTTTATTTGAAATGTTTAACTGCGAACACAACATACTTTGTGTATTTTGTATGATGTTATTATTGTTAACAATGGGTGGCTTGCAATGCCCTATTCTTATGTACATGTGTTGTATATATGGTATTCTTGCTTCTTTGTTGTAATGGACAGTAAGAATAAGCAGAGCTCCTGTAATGTAGTATAGTATGACTTTATGTATTACGATGTACTGAGTAAATGACTTTATCTCTTTGGTCTTCTAACAGTATACTGTTTGTTCTCTTTGATCTTATTTGCAAACCCTATCAATATACTATTGCATTGATGCTGACGTTTAGCCAAAAAAAACTCTTCTTTATAGCTTTAGTGAATTAAACTGTAATGAAGTATGTCCCATGTTTTGCAGGCAGCTGGGTCAGATATCTTCGGGGGGGTACGTGGGTATTTCTGCTTATTCCTCTATCCCTATACTACATGAGCATTCATCCATTGCAATTTAGGAGCAATAATTCGAAAAAAAAAATCTCTATAGCTTTAGTGACCTAGCTTACCTTCAATTAAAGTTTTGGAGTGGAGATTGGTTACAAACCTGTCAGTTTTTATTGCTCTCTGTGCCCCCAATGCACCCTCTCCATTTGTCCCGTTTACCATTTTCCCTGAAAGTGAAAGTAAAATACAATCCCAAATTTAGGGCTGTCCCCAAAAAAGCAATAGGGCAGGATATCTTCCAATGTTGACTGGTGACCTGTAGGGGAGGGGCCCAACGGATTCCCTTAATTTGCAAGAATTTCGTCTTACTTCCTGTTTTGGCGTTGGGACAGGAAGTGAAGGTAAATCTCCCCAATTGGACACAGATGGCAGGAAAGAACTGACATGGGTTATAACCCTCCCTTACTCTATCCAAAATAAAAAAAAAATGCCTATAGTTCTACTTTTGGTATGTCCCATGGCAACTCAATCCTGTGGAAGCCTACAGGATGATGGGTCATCTTCCTGCTACTGAATTTCTGGCACTGAGGAAGTTAATAGTACTAAGTCTTCTTTGAAGCTGCAGTGGACAAGCTCTTGACGGGGACGCTCCTACTCCTCCTCCCCAAGCGCCAGCCGCTGTCATTGGCCGGGTGGGGATGACATCAGTCCCGCGCATGTGCAGGAGTTCAATCAGATTCGGCATTGCCAAATTTGTACAGTGAGCTGTGCGTGTGCGGCCCACTGCACATGGGTGGACAGGTAAGTAAGTCGTTTTAATGAGAAGAGTCAAAGCATGTCTCTTCGAAATTAAAAATCCTGCCTGTCTGCCCATTTTTGTTATATAGCCTAAAGTTCCACCTTAGGGAGTGTTTTGGAAGGGTGAAGTTATACTTGCAATTTCACCCATCCAAGATTGAGCTCTGGCTACTTTTACATGCTAAATCTTATTTCTTCCTGCTAAACAGTGACTGTTTTGCATTAGGTCACTGTAAACGTGTAAGGTGGTATCTCATTGATGTTTTTAAATGCCAAAATGACAGTTACAACAAAGTCTTTCATGGGCCACCTTTCATGCACTGACTGCTGCTATTACGGTCATCTCTCAGAGTATTTCTGTTATGTTCGCCCATAACAGAATTCACAAGTTACTTAGCAGCATTTTTCATTGTCCTGGACCAAGAGTAGGAAACACAAGATACAGTAATTTTACCAATGCCAGAACTATAGGTGTTACTGGAAATGCACCCTTGTTGGTGGCATCATTACTGTGCTGTACATAGCCTTTTATAGATTAGATTCCACCTCTACAGGCTGCATGCAGAAAACTATAGGGATACAAGCCCAGTCCTCTTGCACAAGGAAAGAAGGAGCAGAAGTGAATGGCCTTTATTACAGGACATGTCTACACAGAGGAACAGAGGTGTCATTATTCTTTCTTGATTTCTTTGTATACAGGTTAAAATGTATTTAAAGCCAAAACATTTTAATTGGCTTGGATAGAGTAGAAAAGGGTTAAAACTTCTGTAAATTTCTTTCCTTTACTCTTTGTCTACTTTTCCAATGGGAAAAAAGAGAAGATTTCACCAGACTGAGTAAAATCCCCTCTTAGTTGCCACCATAACAAGCATCTCAGCTGGAAGCTTATTATTCTATTCCTGTGCTGATGGCAACTTTTAGACTTTCCATCAGTTTCAGTCCCAGGAACAAGGGTC